CCAGGAACGGGTTGGCGCCCTTGGCCGGCTCGAAGTCCATGGTTGCTTTCTGCGCATGAACAAGGTAAACGGTTAGTCTGGTACTGAAGAACGAATCCGAACCAATTCAAAGAACAAAACCGAAGAACGAATCCAAAGAACGAATCCAGTAAGCACATTGAAAGTACGAACCCAGTGAATACATCCAGAAACCTAATCCAAAGACCGAATCCCAAGAATGAATCATCTCCGGACGAGTTAGTGATGGCAGGCGCGGTTACAGATCCACTGCCCAGTAACGGGTAAAGGCCCTTTTGCGGCTCGAAGGCCATGGTTGCTTTCTGCGCATGACCAAGGGCTACGATTAGTCTCGTGCTGAAGAACGAATGCGAACCAATCCAAAGAACGAAACCAAAGAACGATTTCTTGGAACGAATCCAGTAAACACATTTATAGTACGAACCCAGTGAATACATAGAAACCTAATTCAAAGACCGCATTCCAAGAATCAATCATCTACGATCGTGTTAGAAATGGCTTGGCCGGCTCGAAGTCCATGGTTGCTTTCTGCGCATGACCGAAAGCCAACGGATAATCTGGTGCTGAAGAACGAATACAAACGAATCCAAAGAACAAAATCGAAGAACGAATCCAAAAACGATTCCTTGGAACGAATCCAGTAAACGCATTCAAGGTACGAATCCAGTGAATACATCCAAAGACCTAATCCAAGACCGAATCCAAAGACCGAATCCGAAGACCGAATCCGAAGACCGAATTCGAAGACCGAATGCAAAGATCGAATCCCAATTATGAATCATCTCCGATCAAGCCCGTTCCTGAATCTCATGGGTTTCTATTAAGGAACAAGTTAGAGATGGCAATCGCGGTTTCGGGCCCACTGCCCAGGAACGGGTTGGCGCCCTTGGCCGGCTCCAAGTCCATGGTTGCTTTCTGCGCATGACGAAGGTTAACGCTTAGGCTGGTGCTGAAGAACGAATACGAACAAATTCAAAGAACGAATCCAAAGACTGAATTCAAAGAACAAATCCCAAAAACGAATTATTGGCATAAACGTACGGGTTTCTATTTAGGAACAAGTGAGAGATGGCAGGCTCACTGTCCAGGAATGTGTTGATCCCCTTGGCCAGCTCAAAGTTGATGGCCAAGCATGACGAAAATCAACGGTTAATGGGGTGTTGATAAACGAATACGAACGAATCCAAAGAACGTATCCAAAGAATGAATCCAAAAAAATAATTCAAAGAACGATTATAAAGAAAAATCATCACAAGAATCTAATGAGTTGCAACTTTGGAAAGAGTTAATGGTGGCTGTCAAGTTTGCTGGCTCATTTCATTAGGAACGGGTTAGTTCTCTTAGCTAGTTGAATGTTCATGGTTGCACTCTGCATATGACAATAATTGACGGTTTTTCGAGTGCATGGAGAACTAATTTTATTAAAGAAACACACTAACGAATTGTAAGAACAAATTTCTTGAACTGATTTATTGTAAGAATCTCACGAGTTGCAAATGAAGAACGAGTTAGAGCTGGTAGGCGCAGTTGCTTCTCCACCACACGGGAGCGGATTTGTGCCCCTGGCGAATAGCAAAAGTCAACGGCATTCGGACGCTGGAGAACAAATCTTATGAACGAATCACACGAACGAATCTACATGTTGAATTATTGGTTCTATGTATTATGACAATATCAGAGGTATCAATGTAGTTGCTCGTCCTCTCATTAAAAATCAGCTCTATGCGAATGACACCAGGAGTTATTCTGGTTCTAGAGAAAAAATCTTATAGACAAGTTCTAAGTCCAAATTATTGGAATGATTCACTGGAACGAAACATCTGACAAATCTCAGGAGTTGGAATTTAGAAACGATTTACAGGCGACAGGCACGGTTGCTGGCACGCTGAGCAGCAAATGGTTAGTAGAAGAGTTAGTGCTCTTGGCCAGCTCGAAGTTCATGAATATGTCTAGTACATGTGCTCTATTATCCTCATTGGAACGTAATAACTTGAGGAAAAATTCTGTCAAAATGTTGTCTATTTATTCAACAAATAAAATTGACCTGAAAATATTTTATTAACACATGTACTGTCATAAAGAATTTGGGAAGAAGATTTGTACAGAGAGTGTGATAGTATAACAAACTTGAGTAAAAAGTTTTACATTTTTACGTAAGAGTGAATGACACATTAACGCAGAATTAGCAATTCCAATACAAGATAAAATTACCTTTCTAAGTAGCTGTAGGTGAGGTCGGAGGGTTAACAGAAGAAGGGGCTCACCTAGGTGGCGCTGTGCCTACTGGCCGAGGATCTCGGACTCGATGAGGCGCAGCTCGGCGCGCCCGGGCAGCAGCTGCTCCGCGATGGACGTGTCGAAGGGGTCGGCGTCGTCGGCGACGGCCTCTGTGGAGGCGGCGGGCGTCAGTGGGCGCGCGGTCGCGTCGCCCTCCGCGGGCAGGTCCAGCAGGTCCGGACGCTCCTGCGCGCAACGCTCGGGTCAGGGGAGCGAAAGCGGTGGTGACATAGGGGGTGAACGGGTCACGTGCGTGAACGGGTCCCGTGAGTGAACGGGTCCCATGAGTGAACGGGTCCCGTGAGTGAACGGGTCCCGTGAGTGAACGGGTCCCGTGAGTGAACGGGTCCCGTGAGTGAACGGGTCAAGTGAGTGAACGGGTCCCGTGAGTGAACGGGTCACAGAAGTGAACGGGTCACGAAAGTAAATGGGTCACGGAAGTGAACGGGTCACGTAAGTGAACGGGTCACTGGAGTGAACGCGACACGAAACTGAACGGGTCACGGAAGTGAAAGGGTCACGAGAGTGAACGGGGTCACGGGAGTGAACGGGT